AACGTCAATCGGACATGTTAAAGGCCTCCGAAAAGGGGGTAGAGGGGGGAGGGTTGAGAGACCCGCCTGGCCTCCTGACCTGAGTCTGATGACTTCTGGAGTATTGGGGTTCAGCAACTCCGAGCGTGCTCCGCTTCCTGGACAGCACCTTGGCGCCGCGGCTGCAGGGCAAGAATCCTGGACCATGCCCATTATCTTGTCAGCAGCCTCACACAGTTGGCAGAGGTTTGAGTGGTACAAAGGGCGCTGGTCGTGCCCGGCAGCAAATCAGTGAGCTCTCACCTGATGCAGGCCTTGTGCGCCCTGTCATTTGCCTTAGCCCCAGACACTTAGCCCAGCCCTGTAGGGCTCCGACCTCTGATTACAGTACTTGATTCTCTGATCGGCACAAAAGCTGGACATTGCACATTTGCCATTTATCTGTAAATTAATAATTGAACGCTCGCTTGGCCTTACAGAAAGGCAAGAAGGAGAGGCCAAGATCTTAAGTTTGATGGTGAACATGTACTACATTTTCTTTGCCAGAAAAACAAATTAATCATGGAAATCAAGCTCATGGCAACTTCATGTGGGTCAGAGTGGAACGGGGCTCCATGGGGTTTTCGGTGGCTGGTCTTCTGGAAGTAGATCTCCCACCTTCTTCTGACCTCCAGCCTCTCTGAGCACCTGAGCCACTTGCACCATCTTGGGACTGTCTTCAGAGCGGTCCAGTCTTTTGGCTGGCTGTCCCTCAGAAGTCTTTATAAGGGGCAGGGAGGTAATTTCAAGGTCTGTTCATGAGGCTCAAAGATGAAATCGTGGACTGTTGTGAATCTGGGTCTATTTATTTTTCAGCACAGAGGACCCGGGTAAATGAAGGCACCACTTTCTACTCCGTGGATGTCACCTGCAGGAGGCCGTAGGGTGCAGTGGTTATGACCGTGGACCATGGATCTGGACATTCCGCAGACTTGGGTGCAACTTCTCAACTCAAGTTCCTGTGACATGGAAACACGGAGACATACATATAAACAGGCATAAAGATGTTTAGAGGTTTGGAGTGGTGATTTGTGGTGAAGATTCCAAGTGGCCCTCCATGTATTCTTGTGTATTCTTTTATTATTATTATTGATTGGGTGGGTGACTTACATTTCAGAGTATTAACTCTGAATTCGACCGTTCAAACCATTCATCTACATACACACCCTTACTCACCCAGTGAGAGAATTCAACCTGGTAGGCATAACTGATCATTTTTTGGGGGTTGAGTTTGGCAAACCAGTTGTTAACAGGACTTTTATAATCAGGATTCTCTCCAAGGTGGGCAGCTACCCAATGTGGAAATCATAAATTTACATTCCTTGCTCTGTTAACGGTCATCGATGCTAAGTGTCCATAGTAATGTTTCTTCTTTTTTTTTAAGTAATGTTTATTCTGTCCATAGGTATAAAAAATTAGAACTATGCTTGTAATATTTATTCATCCCATAAATCTTGTTTACTTTTGAGGAAATACAACATTTTTATTCCTTTATATTTATTGTTTCAATAAACAAACATATAACATATAGGGGAACAATACCAAACAACCAGAGAGGGTGACACGCTGCTACAGCATTGATTTCAGCTTTGTATTATGCCCCAAATTCTCATGGGAGATTATGAGTGAATGATGCACTTCCTGAAAGTGTTCGAAGAGCTAAAAATATTGTCAGAACAATTGTAAGTTAGCAGAAGTGGGAAAAAAAGTTAGCAGAAGTGGAAAGCGTTTTTTCCAAAGATGAACATAATATGTTCAAAGAAGAGAAGTCACCTGTTTCTAACAGATGAAACACAATGACTACTGTCTAACTGGTCTACCTCTAAAGGAATGGGCTCCTACCCCTACAGCGAAAAGACGGTTAAGGAGAAATCACGCAGCCGATGATGATGATGCTACCCAGATAAAAGTGAAGAATATTGTGAGGATGAGGCAATATGAAAATATCATAAATAACAGTTTTATTGTTTGGGTTGTTTTTGTCAGGTATGATGTAACATTTCTTTACTAGTATTTTGAAATTATTTTTTATAACAATGTAATTTGTGCATCTCTTTTATTGTTCTTATTACATATTTAAATAATAAACTACATTTTGGTTTATATGTATTTTTGGTATATCTTTTTAAAAAAAATTTTTTTTGGTTTATCTTTTTTAAAATGATCATTAGGGTAGTGAACTGACTGTTAAATTATTTAAATCTCTCCACTTTCCCCACCCCTTATCTTATTCCCCCTCCTCCTCCTACCCACCCAAGATCTCTTTCATTCATATGGACTTCCAATCTCTTTGACTCCAGGTCTGCATTCAACCTTCTAGTTCATTAGTTCACTTTCAAAGCCTGTTCTCTTTAGAATGCTAATCTTTGTCTTTCTTGGTGTTTGTCCATGTCGGAGTGCTCTCTCAAGATATCTCTTCTGTAATTGACTGACTTCACTCAGCATAATCTCCAGGCCCCTCCTGTTGTGAGGTGCTTTGCGGTTTCATCATTGTTTTTAACAATGCACAGTGTTCCAGTGTGTACACCAAAGTTTCTTTAGCTGCTCTTCTACACGAATAGACTTTGGGGCTATGGCCAGCTTCTTGCTGTTGTGAGCGGTGCTGGGATGGACCGGGAGCGCATGTCTGTACGTGTATGGCTCTCACTGCCATCGGACATACACCCAGCAAGTATTCTGGATCACATAGGACTGCTCTTCCCAATCACTGGAGCTGGTGCCATATTGCTTCCCACAAAGGTGGTTCTCACTGACAGCTCCACCAGCAGCCGAGGAAAGTGCCAATCCCTCTGCACTCTCTCCAGCATTTGCTGGTTTTTGTGTTTTTGAATTGGGCTGTCTTTGTCATTGTAAAGTGGTTTCTCGTTTTTTATTTTCATTTTAAACAAGAAGCTTATTTAAACAACAAGATGCCTGACTTGAAGGGAAAACTATCCAGGCTTCATTTATTGCAGAGTAATTTACCCCTACTTAAAGACAGATTGTCCTACGTGTAACAGCTACATACAAAAGTTATAAAATTGTCCTTTGTTTAACAATGATAAATGAAAAACATTAAAGTTCTCGAATCGAACAAGGTATGCAAGGATTTTTTTTCGGTTGCTATACATTTTATTTATTTTTTTAAAAAATTATTTTATTGGGGGCTCATACAATTCTCATCACAATCCATACATACATCCATTGTGTCAAGCACATATGTACATTTGCTGCCCTCATCATTCTCAAAACATTTGCCTTCTACTTTAGCCCTTAATATCAGCTGCCCATTTCCCCCCTCCCTCATGAACCCTCCATAATTCACAAATCATTATTGTTTTGTCATAAGTTACACTGTCCGACATCTCCCCCCACCCTCTTCTCTGCTGTCCATCCCCCAGGGAAGAGGCTATACGTAGATTCTTGTAATTGGTTCCCCCTTTCCACCCCATATTCCCTCCACCCTCCAGGCCTCACCCCTCTCACCACTGGTCCTGAAGGGGTCATCTGTCCTGGATTCCCTGTGTTTCCAGCTGCTATCTGTACCAATGTACATCCTCTGGTCTAGCCATATTTGTAAGGTAGAATTAGGATCATGATAGTTGGGGGGGAGGAAGCATTCAAGAACTAGAGGAAAGTTATATGTTTCATCGTTGCTACCCTGCACCCTGATTGGTCCATCCTCCCCAGTTGCCTACCAATGGGCTTTGAGTCTCCACTCTGCATTCACCCACCTTTACAATGATATGATTTTTTGTTCTTTGATGCTTGATGCCTGATCCCGTCAACAGCTCGTGGTCACACGGGCTAGTGTGCTTCTTCCATGTGAACTTTGTTGCTTCTGAGCCAGTTGGCCGCTTGTTTATCTTCAAGCCTTTAAGACCCCAGATGCGATATCTTTTGATAGCCGGGCACCATCAGCTTTCTTCATCGCATTTGCTTATGCACACGTTTGTCTTCAGTGATCATATCAGGAAGGTGGGCACCCACTGATAGGATTTTTAGTTCTTTGATGTCTGATACCTGGTCCCTTCTGCACCTCATGGTCAGACAGGCTGGTGTGCTTCTTCCATGTGGACTTTAATGCTTCTCAGCTGGATGGCAAGGATTTTTTTATGTTGCTTTTTTGTTTTTGTTAAACAGCGAGAGCAAAATAACTTACTGGAGTCTAAAGAGAGGAGCTGAACGAGCAGGCCGCTGATGAAGGAGAGGGTGTTTTCACAGAACCAGTATCTTCCCCCTCCCGTCTCCACTGGATAGCGATCAAAACATACCATTAGCCATTTAGTAAAAATGGTAATAATAAATAAAGGGGCAAATGCATGCTTGTGCACACGCACCAGTTACGTGATGTACAGTAAAGGAGTGGGGGCGGGGAAATAGAAGAATAGAGGAGACTGTACGGTCATCGTCAGGAGGTGGTGGAAGCCAACAGTGGTTTCCTAATTGAGAACAGACTCTCGGTCGGTAGGAAGAGAGTTCTGGAGGAAAGGGGCAGGCTCCCTCTTAGAAGACGCCTCCGGTCTGCTGCTGGAACACACCCATTGCATCTTCATTCATCCTCCACCGTCCAATGGTGCGGTGTGTTTCATTGATTGGCTGTCGTCACATCGGAATCTGATCTGCCTCATTGACAACCCTGTCATTCCCAATGGGCTTTCATTAGTTTACTCTTGATCTTAACCTGCACCACAGAACCATCCTGCCCTGCCGCCTTCAGTCTTGACTCCTTCCTTGGGTGTCTGGCGGCCATGGTGAGCGCCCAAGTGCCCTCAGCTGCCACTTCACGAGTGAGGTGCCCGGTCCGCACCAAACGAGCACACAGGCAGCTCCAGCAGCCTCTCTCTCGTTGGTTTTCAAAAACCGTTTTATTGGCATTTGATTCGCATGTCATAACGTAATCATTCAAGCATCTTCAGAAGAGTCGGGCCATCATCATCACAGTTTCAGAGCAGTTTCTTCTTTCTCATGCTCACTGTCGTTAGCTCCCCATTTCCCCCCAACCTCCCCCGCCATGCCCCTAGGTCATGGTTCATCCAGTCACTGTCTCGATAGAGGTGCCGACCCTGGATTTCATATACAGAAAACCATGCCAGACAGTAACAATGACTCATGAAACAGAAAAACCTCAATAACAAATGAAGCAGGAAGGGTTAACACCAGAAACAACTTTAACAGGCGCCCAAAGGGTGAGCAAATGACAAGGCGGTAGTGAGATCATGCTTGTTGTTTTTACATCTATTATTAGTTGGAATTAAAACATATATCATTCTTGGGTTCAATCATGCCGCCGTTGTTTGATTTGCATCTCTGGGTTCGTCACGCGTTTCTTCGGCACCGGAATGTCACTTTCAGGGGCGCCTTACTCATGATTGATGCTTACAGCCTGGTTGACCTCATGAGTCCCGATGTAGGTCTAGACCTGGTGATGATTGCTGATTGCATCCGCAGGCTTCCCGAAAGCTCATGGGAACATTCCATTTTCATTTGATTTTTCCATGAACTTTTTGAAGTCCTCTGAAGAAAAATGAATGGGAAGTTCTGACTTTAACCCCACTAGGACCCGTGGGAGTAAGTGCATTTATTTACGTCGATTGCCAAAGCCATATGCAAACTGGGCAAGAAAGACCATGGGGGAGGGTGGTGGAGACTAGGTAGACCAAGGTAGTGCTAGGCACTGGGCCAGGCCTGGGGAGCAGGCAGAGCGAGGAACCCCCGAGAAGACTGCTTCCAAGCTGTTTACAGAGCTCACCGATCGATCGTTACTGCGATTCTCTAAATGCATTGCTTTTCAGTTAGGCGGAACTAGGCCACACTCCTGGTTCCCGTTATGCAGCTCTGAGTCCATCTCCTCTCCCCATGGCTTTTCAAGGTCACTTGTAGAGCAGGGAGATGGTCAGTCATCACGGTCCCTTGCTCCTAGGGCTGCTTAGGAAAATAACGCGTGTCACGTGCTCAGCACAAGGACCCTCAGCCTGTACTACTGCCCAGCTCTGAGCTGAGTTCATCACTGCTGAACCCCTGGCACCTGCATATGGTAAGTGCTCAGAAGACAGTTATGATTGAAGTGGGCTTGCATGTTATGGTAGGTGTGTGTGGGGGATTATGGGATGGGAAAAGCAATTGGAAAGGTCTTCAAGGGCTGGTCTGGGGAGTTTATCCCGCGGGGAGAGAGTTTGAGGGCAGGGGCTGGGTTCTATCTTTTATGGGATGGGCCTGGCTTCTGATGATCTCACAGTAGGCTCCTTTCCACTGACACAGCCTCATCCGCAAGGTATTGGGGAGCCAGCATCAGCACTGGTTTCTAGACTACTCAGGAACTGACATTTGGATTCACTTGGAGTTGAATCTCCACAGGGACTGAAGCGGCTTGGCCCCTGGCCTCCAGGAGGGGCTGACCCCATGAATCTTCAGTTCCACAACTAGATGCTCCTGGCTTTACTTGGAACATGTGACTGCAGAGGCTGCCAGGGCCTTCTTGACAAAACAGTTCCCGTTTCCTAAGAGTCTACCATGTGCTAAGACACACACACTCAATTTTACTGAACCTGACAGTGGCCATGATAAGCCAGGCCTAGGATGAGGCTTTGTAGAATTCATGGTAAAATTTCGTGATCTTTTCATTCTTTCCTAGGAAGTTTTTGAAGCCCCCTCTTAGACATGCAGTGCTTAAGAAAAACAAACAAAAAACCCCAAGCTCATGACCATTGAGTCAATGCCAACTCTTAGTGACCCTGTAGGACAGGATGGAACTGGCTCTGCAAATTTCTAAGATGGTAATTGTTCATGGGAGTAGAAAGCCCCATCTTTCTCCCTCGTGGTAGCTGGTGGTTACAAACTACTGACCTTGCAGACAGCAGCCCAAATGCACAACCACTGCGGCGCCACCAGGGTTCCCACATCACGGCAAACCTAAAACAAAACCCTCACTGCCAGAGGGTCCATGCTGGCGCCCAGCAACCCGACTGGACGGAGTAGAACTGGCCTTGTGGGTGTCCTAGGCTGTTAACTCTGTACAGGCACAGAGAGCCTCCTCTTCCTCCCAGAGAGCTGCTGGGGAGTCGAACAGCCGAGCTTGCAGTTAGCAGGCCAATAGGTCATCACCCACTACATCACCAGGGCTCCAAGCCACAGCCTGTGACATAGGACGGTGGGGTGATGTGGGGGCCGTAGGAACAGCACACTGTGGACAGGCAGTCCGTTCCTCAGTCGGCTGTCTGTAAGCAGGAACCGTTAGGTACAGTCTGCATCTGCAGCAGGCCGACGGTTTGGTCAGTAATCGGGGTAGCTCGCTGCTCCAGGAATGCTTCTGGTACACCACAGCATCTCTAAGAAAACACTCCGCTGGCTGTGGTTTGACTCCCTTGCTCAGGAGCATGGTTTGTTATCGTGGAGTTTTACTATAACAAGGGTTGGGGCACTGTCGTGCAGCACGTGAGTGTACTTCTCCCAATTCACAGAAGAGAACACAGAGAGGCTCCGAGGGTGAGGTGACCACTGCTGGCTGCAGAGCTGCTCACGGACAGAGCCCGCTGGGCCTGCTTTCAGAGCAGTGGCTGCCTCTCCTGAGATGATGCTCCAGGCCATGCCCTGAGGCTGAGACCAGGTCTTCAGGGTGGAATGAGGCTACTAGCAGCTTGTGTTCTGAGTGCTGTGGGCCTGCAGGTGGGGGACTCTGACAAACCAAGCCCCTACTGTGTGCGAGAGGAATGGGGGAAGATCCCTGCCCTCTTGGTCTTAGCTCCAGTATAGGGAAGTTGAGACAAGGAGGGGCAGGGTCAAAGCTTGGGGAATCCAAGGCGGGGCTGGCCTCGGCAAACCCGAGGGAAAAGGAAGGAGCAGACTTTTGACCAGCAGGAAGCCTTTATTCACAGAGAAGAGACCCACAACCCCTCTCTCTCACCCTTCCTCACTTGGCAAGACTCCAGCCTCACCCCCAGACAATTCTGATGGCGATGGGCCTAGACGGAGTCCTGGGTTGTAGACCTGGAGTATCCCACCTCCGGCCTGGACAACACATCCCTGTACGGCTTTCCCTGGCGTCCTGGGAGCCCCACTCCCGGGAAGCAACATCTGCTTTATCCTGAGTTGGCACACAAGGCCACTCGGCGGTGATTATGTCAAATTATGACAAGTGATGTCCAAGGGTCAGTCTTCACAGAAAGTGAGCAAAGGTAGTAGTAGAAGGGGAGCCTCTGCCTCCGGGGACAGAGGCCGGCCGCTCAGTCCAGGCCTCAGAGCTCCACGGGAGGCGGGGTGATGCCCAGCTCTTCCCGCAGGGCCAGCAGAGGCTGCTCCCAGCGCCGCTCGTAGTACACGTTGAGCAGGCACGGGGCTCGGCATCCATTCTGCACTGCCCACGGGATCAGCTCAGACACCAGCACTTGCAGGCTCCTGTCAGGCAGCAGAGGAAAACCGCACGAGGTCCCAGGGAGTGGGGCACTTCTTACCCCATCCTGAGCGTGCCAGGGCTACCTCACGCCAGGCAGACACTCCCTTGCCTTCCCATCCTCTCTGCTCATCCCCATCCCTCGGCTCTCTGTTCAGGCTTTCTCATTGCCCCGGAGTCCCCACCCCTTGGTGCCCCTGGGAACCACAGTTTTACCCCCCCACCCTCTGGTGCCCCACTCTTTCCACCCTTGCCTCCTGGCCGCCCAGCAGGGTGCTCTTGCCCCTGCCTGGCCTCTTTAGTCAGCCCCTGGAGAACTTACTGGGCACTGAGTCGGAGTGGTCCGAAGAGCGCACCCAGGAGGCACATGGGCAGGCCGGTCTGCACAGCTTCAAACCACTTCACCACGATCTCCCCTGAGGGACGGGCAGGAGGGGGTCAGTGCAGGGCTGGCACTAGCATTCCCGTGGCAGGCGGTGAGCAGGGGCCAGGAGAGGCAGGCACCTGCTCCATCTGATCACTAACCTGGGTCAACCAAGTCCAGTCCTGGCCTGTGCTGGGCCCTGGGGGTCTCAACTTAAGGTGGGAGAGCGGGGGGTGGGGGGACAAGAAAGAGATGGAAACAAGGCTGGGAAGGATGCACAGTCAGGGTACTGAGGCCCCCGGAAGTCAGGCTGAGAAGGGGCTAAGGACAGAGACAGAGGTCCTGATGGGGGTCAGAGCTGTGAAATCAGTGAAGGAGCCCTGGGAGGCAATGAGGTTAGAGATGGGGGTGTCACACACATTGCCCAGAAGTTAGGGTGAAGCAGGTTGTGGGGCCCCGAGTCAGACAACTGGTAGGTGACACAGAGAGGTGAGTCTGACCCAGGATGACGGGCCAGAGGAAGGGCCCCACCCCTCAAGGCAGCTGGCAGGGTGGCACTCACCCAGGATGTTGGTGGGCATCCCCAGGAGAGTGTGCAGCATGTCATGCACTTCCCGGTACCGCTGGATCACGTAGGCCAGCTCCTCATCGTCCACGAAGCGGGTGGGTGCTCGGGTGTCTGGAGAGACCCTCTGAAAACCATGAGCCTCCACTAGCGCCTTCCTCACAGCTCCCCGACGTCCCAGCCTCCTCTGACTCCACCAGCCCCACCGAGCTCATACCCACCCCAAGGGTCCCTGGGCTCTGTTCCCCTTCACACCCGCACACAGGGTGGGCCTGGCACTCCCCTCGGCTGGTTCAGCCCACCCATAGTTGGAGCCCATGGGAAGCAGCCCTAAATCTGGTTCTTAGCACAGCTGCTCCCAGCCTGGAATCTTCTCTCTTAGCCCTGCCACCTTCACCTTGACAACTCCACCCTCAGGACGGAGCAGAGGTGCCCCTGCCCCAGCCTTGGCTGACTTTCACACCGATGGGGGGGCTCTCTGCTCCAGGACCTTGTTCCATCCACGTGGTGGCCCTCAAGGGGATCCTGATGGCATGCGCATGCGATGCGCATGGTGATGACCGTACTTGCAGTCTACTACAGAGCCTGCCTGCCCCGGCCCCTGCAGGGTCTCAAGTGACCTGGGCGCTGTGTGCAAAACACACAGCAGGTCTCTAAGACTTAGGAGGAAAACAACATGACCCCTCACACTCCCCCCCCCACCTCCACCCCGTACTGTATGTTAAGATGATATTTTAGATCCGTTGGGTAAAATCAAATGTATTAAAATGAATTCCATTTGTTTTCTTTGCTTGTATGAGTGTGGCTAATGGAAAGTCTTCAATCCCCGTGAGTCAGGCTCTGTTTCTGTGGGTGCTGCTAGCGGCAGGGCGGCCCGCTTTGCTCACTGCTCTGCCTCCCCTGCCTGGCAGCGGCTCCCCTTCCATGCCTGGATGACGAAGGGACAGTGCTTATCCCGGGAGGGCTGTCAACTGTCCTCCCTTCCCCACCCACTGCCTCTGGGGGTCCTCAGCAGCCCATCCAACACGGGCTCAGCCTGGTCTTCCTGTTCTCTTGGCACGGCCTCCGTCTGTCCAGAGGCCCAGAGCTGACCTCTCCATTCGGGTTAGGCCTGCTGGGTCAGGGCTCAGGAAATTCTCATTTCCCCTCCTTGCTGTGTAATGCTGAAAGCAACTAGTTAAGGATCAAACTGTGTCCCCAAAATGCTCACCCCAAAACCCCGCAAGTCGTTGTCAACTCATAGCAACCCTACAGGACAGGGTAAAACTGTCCCTGCGGATATCTGAGACCATGAATCTCCTGCGGGAGGGCCTCCTCTCTCATGGGGTGTGGCTGGGGGTTTTGAATTGCTGACCTTGTGATTAGCAGCCTAAGGCCACCAGGGCTCCAGTCCCCTAAACAGGTATGCAAATATCAACTTCCATAGCTGTAGTCTCTCTTTGTTATGTTAATGATACAGTATTAGCAACAGTGTGTGCCTTAATCCAATCTCTTTTGAGATGTAAAAGAGTTTAAACAAGTAAAAAAAAAACAAACTCACTGCTACCCAGTTGGTGCTGACTCAGCAACCCGATAGGACATCTGAGTTGGAATTAGCTCAAAGACAGTGGGTTTGTCCGTCCCCCCCTTACTTAATAACTGTAGTTATCAAGTACCTGCAATGTACTAATACTGTCAGAGGTGCTTTACATATATTATCATTTCATCTTTGCAACAATTTTACTAGCCTCAGATACCGGTAAGGAAAACACCAGGCTCAGCAAGATAAAGTAGCCTGTCCAAGATCACGCAGGTAAGAACGCAGCCGAGGCAGGACTGGAAACAGATTTCTGAAGTGCAAAGTCAGGAAGCTGACCTTGCAGTATTGCTCAGCAGGCTGGTGCCCTGAGGCCTGAAGGATGGATGCAGGCCGCCTCGCTTCACAGGAAGACTGCAGCTCAGGGAGGTCAAGGGTTTGCTCGGGGACATCAAGTTAGGAAGAGGCAGGAAGTCCAACTTGGGCTAGTGGAACAATCAGATACGCAAGGATGACACTTCCTCCTCTGATGGCAGCCTCACCTTGAATTGGGACAAAGGTGGCCCTGTACATTCAAGTGTCGTAATCACGAAGGTTGTTACCCACAAGTAGGCTCAAGGGTGCAGGTGCCCATGGTGGCCCTGGAGACAGGCCCTTCCCTACTCCCCTCTATAGGAAAATGGACTAATGACTCCGGGGGAACCTCTGAAAGTGGTCCCTCCCTCAGTGGCACCTGGGCAGGTCACTCTGGCAGGGTCTCCCAGAGGAACTGTGCGTGTTATTAACCCCTTCAGGGATGGCATGAAAGGCAGCACGGGATTGCCCAGCCGAACCCACTGGGTCAGGAGAGCGTGGGGAGCAGGTGAGGGTCCCCGATGTCACTCACAGCAGTGGCTCTCAATGCTCCCCTCCAGACATCAGGGGGTACTTTTGAGTGTCACAACTTAGGTGGATGGACGATGCGACTGGCATGTAGTGAGCAGAGGCCGGGGTGCTACTCAGTGTCCCAGAAGGCAGAGCATGGCCACCTACAACAGAAAAGTGTCTGGCTCGACATGCCATTAGTGCCAAGACAGAGCAGCCCTATTCTGGAGCAACCTTTGGTCAGTCACTGCCTTCACCTCTTCCGGCCTGACTGGTTCCTGGGGCTGGGCTAGGTGACTAGTTGGCAGAGGTGCTGTGATGGGCTATGTATGTGATAGTGTCACAGATGGTTGGTGAGCGAGAGCTCACTTAAAGATTGGCAGTCTGAATCCACCTCGCAGTATCACAACCTTCAACACCTAGCAGATGACACAACCTCGCTTGCTCAAAGTGAGGAGGACTTGCAGTCAAGAGATCACATGGGGGGAGTGGGGAGGGAGGGGGGAAATGAGCAACTGATATTAAGGGCTAAAGTAGAAGGCAAATGTTTTGAGAACGATGAGGGCAACAAATGTATATAGGTGCTTGACAAAATGGATGTATGTATGGACTGTGATAAGAATTGTACGAGCCCCCAATAAAATAATTTTAAAAAAAAAGAGAATTCACATGACGTCTTGTCTGGGGTAAATCTGCTGCACCAGACGACTCTACAGTGTTGAAAAGCTAGGATGTTACTTTGAGAACTGAGCCATGACTGACCCCAGCCATGGTATTTCCATCGTTTCCGATGCATGTGAAAGGTGGACGCAGGATAAGGACGACCAGAGAATAGGTGCGTGTGAAGAGTGGGGCTGGGGAAGAATCTAGAAAGCACCGTGCACCGCCTCACTGTCTCAGAAGAAAGACAGCCGGAACGCTCTTTAGAGACAGGATGGTGAGCCTTGGACACGTGGTCAGGAGAGGCCAGTCCCTGAAGAAGGGCTTCATACTTGTAAAGTGGTGGGGAGTGAAAGAGAAGACATTCCATGCGAGTGATGGACGGACAGAGTGGCTTTATCAACGGCTCACACACAAGAACGATCAGGAGGATGGCACCGCCAGTGTTGCACACAGGGTCGCCATGCGTCAGACGGCACGCAACAGCAGCTGCAGTGGTGCCGCAGAAGCAAGGCCTGGCGATCTGCTTGCTGTGAAGATTGGTCGAGAAAACCCCATGGAGCAGATCTACTTTGTGACACAGAGGGTCACGAGGAGCCGGAACCGACTGGCTGGCAGTGGGCGTGGTGTTGTATGTGCTGGGATGGCGGTGGGGTGGGAGCAGGGATACGAAGGCGGTCCTTTTGTCACCTCAGGGCTTTTCATACATCAGATCCTGTTCCTGTCTTGCTCAGCACCTTCCAACGCAAAACCAAACTCACCGCCATCCAGTCAACCCTGATGAAAAACAGCCCCAGAGGACAAGGCAGAACGGCCCGTATGTTTCTGACACTGCCATCCTTTACGGGGCTTTCAGAGAGCCTCATCTTTCTCCCATGGAGCAGCTGGTGGGTTGGAACTGCTGACCTTTCGGGTTAGCAGCCCAACTTGTAGCCCACTGTGCTGCTAACAGAGTCCTTAAAGTCCTCCGATGGCGTTCAACTGCTCTTATTGCACAGTAGCGCCTCCTTCCTGAGGCCGGCAGGGCCTGTGTCCTGCCCAGCTCCAGCTCCCTGGCTGCCTCTACGAAGCTACATCGGCTGTCTCCCTGTTCTGAAATGCACAGAAAGAGCCCTGCACTTCCCAGCTTTGCACAAGGCTGGCCGTCTACTGTCTTTTGGGTCTCCTGCTCAGAACGGCCTCCCCCGACTGCCCTGGCAGAAGTGGTGGCACCTTCAAGGCACCAAGTGTTCCTCTATCACATTCAACTCTTTTCTTCGTAGCGCCTACCTGCAAGAATCTAAGCCGGCACTGTTCATCGGATCCTCCCCACCGAGACTAGAACCGGGTACATTCCAAAAACCCAAGCTCATGGCCATCAAGTCAGTTCTGAATCATCGTGACCACACAGGACTGTCCCTCTGGTTTCCGAGACTCTACATCTTCACAGGAACAGACAGCCTTACCTTTCTCCCAGTACATCCCGAGTACTCTATACATATTTTGCCTACACTGCCGTGTTTTATTTTTATTTTTTAATTTTTACGGCTTTACTGTCTGCCTCCCTAACAGTACAAGCTCGATAAGGGCAGGGCCATTGCGGGATAAACAATCGGAGGAGAAAACAACCGAACTGATGGTTCCGGGGAACATGGGAGAGAGGAAAGGAAGTGGGTGCTAACAAACCCAGGGACAAGGGCACAACAAGTGATCTAAAATCGATAGCGAGGAGGGCATAGGATGCCTGGTAGGGCTTGATCAAGGGCAATGTAACTGAGAGGAATTACTGAAACCCGAATGAAGGCTGAACATGATAGTGCGACAAGAGGAAAGTAAACAGAAATAGAGGAAAGAACTACTTATAGGATATTTATAAAGGTGTAAATACAGGCATGTATATATGTAAATGTATTTACATATAAATATAAATAGGGAAATAGATCTATGTACATATTTATATGTTAAGTATTAAGGTAGCAGGTGGATATTGGCCCTCTAGTCAAGGACTCCCTTAACACAAGAACACTTTGTTCTAATAACCTGGCATTCCGTGATGCTCAGCTTCCCGACACAATCGCTGAAGACAAAATGTGTGCATAAGCAAATGTGGTGAAGAAAGCTGATGGTGCCCGGCTATTAAATGATATAGCAAAGATATAGCGTCTGGGGTCTTAAAGGCTTGAAGATAAACAAGCAGCCATCTAGCTGAGAAGCAACAAAGCCCACATGGAAGAAGCACACTAGCCTGTGTGATCACGAGGTGTCGATGGGATCAGGTATCAGGCATCAAAGACCCAGAACAAAAAATCACATCAATGTGAATGAGAGGGAGTGCAGAGTGGAGACCCAAAGCCCATCTGTAGACAACTGGACATCCCCTTACAGAAGAGTCGCGGGGAGGAGACAAACCAGTCAGGGTGCAGTATAGCACCAATGAAACATACAGCTTTCCTCTAGTTCTTTAATGCTTCCTCCTCTCCCCCTCCACTATCAGGACTCCAATTCTACCTTACAAATCCGGCTAGACCAGAGGATGTACACAGGTACAGATAAGAACTTTAAACACAGGGAATCCAGGACAGATAAACCCCTCAGGACCAATCATGAGAGTCGCAATACCAGGAGGGGAAGGGAAAGGTGGGGGGAGAAAAGCAGAGCCAATCACAATGATCTACCTATAACCCCCTCCCAAGGGGATGGACAACAGAAAAGTGGGTGAAGGGAAACACCAGTCATTGGTTTTTTTTTTGAAAATAATAATAATTCATAAATTATCAAGGGTTCATTAGGGAGGGAGGGTGGGGGCGGGAAGGAAAACATGAGCTGATACCAAGGGCTTAAGTAGAAAGAAAATGTTTTGAAAACGATGGTGGCAACAAATGTACAAGTGTGCTTGACAAGGGGGGTGGATGGACTGTGATAAGAGCAGTACGGGCCCCCAATAAAAGGATTTTTAAAAATGAGAGAGCAGGGCTCTTGCCAGCACCGTTCACCACTGCGGCCCTTTCGCAGGTGATGGCACACGACAGGTAACAACGCAATACAGGAGCCCTCCCCCGGCCCCACGCCCCATTCTCCAGCCTGGAATGAGGAATGCCACCTGATGTTCCCCAGGGAAGTCGCCACCTCTGGAACTAGGGGACGTGGTGCAGAAGGTTAAGAACACGGTCCGGCTTTCGGTGCCACCTCTGACAGTACTGGCTGTGGGAAATCAGCGGCTCGCATCAACGCTTGGAGTCCCATGCTACAAGCAGGAAAACACACCCGCCGAGGACAGAATATACTTGGCGGGGTCGTGAGAGGAGTCAGAGCAGGTAGGAGCCCGGAGGGCCGTGCTACCACCTGCTCTTGGGCCACAGAAAACGATCCAGCCCTGGCATCGGAGCTCAGGGCTCCTCCTTCCTTGAGATGTCACTCTCAGGCCACCCTCTACCCTCGCTGGTGAGGACTAGAAGCCGGGCACTCACATTCACATCCAGGAAACGGAGGTACTGGCGGCCGAAGGTGCCCTCAGGCAAGCTCTGGAGCTTGCCCAGGTCAAGGGTGGACAGTGCAATCCGGGGACGCTCCCTGCAATGGAGAAAACAGGCCTCGGGGGTTGGAAGGGCACCAGCAAAAGTAGGTAGGTGTAAGGTGAACACATTTGTGAGGAGTGGGGAGCAAAGGGCAGCGTGGGGCCACACTTTGTAGAGCGCCTCTAACTAGCCAGGCCAGTGGCAGGGACAGTCTAGGCAGGCAAGCAGACATGTGATCTTACATGATCTTACTTACAAAGGGTAGGGAAAGGTGCGGGGCGTGGGGGTGCGGGAGGCTCTGGGAACTTTGTGAGGCACAGAACCTGTGGCTGAAACGGGGCCCAAGCCACCATAACATGCAATCCCAGGTCTTCAGAGTCGGGAGGTAAAGGGCGCTGCCAATGTTGGGCAGGACCTAGCCTGTGCAGCCACCCCTGACCAAGGTATCAAAGAAAGCTCCCTAGGGCAGGGGTTCTCAACCTTCCTAATGCCTCGACACTTTCATACAGGTCTTCATGTGGTGGTGACCCCCCAACCATAACATTATTTTCATTGCTACTTCATCGCTGTCATTTTGCTACCGTGATGAATCTGGCGACCCCTGAGAAAGGGCCGTTCGACCCGCAAAGGGGTCGAGATCCACAGGTTGAGAACTGCTGTCCTAGGGGAACACAACTGTCACCATGTGACTCTACAGAGATCAGGACCCCCAGAAAACGGACCCCCTCTCCAAGACAGAGCTGGCACCTACTGCAGGATCTGGGCACCCTCTGGATCCCTCCTCATCTGGTCCCTGAGGGCCTTGAGGGTGTGACGTCCTGTGGTCTCCCCTAGGACAGCAACCATGTCTGGAAGGGCAGAAACAGGCACACGTGGTGAGTTCCCCGACCTGGTAGGAGCCTTAGTTCCTACAGGGAGAAGCACTGCCCTCTGAGCTCTGAGGGCTCACGCGGGCACTGGCAGGGCACTCAGAGGGCTCATGCGGGCACTGGCAGGGCACTCAGAGGGCTCATGCGGGCACTGGCAGGGCACTCAGAGGGCTTTAGTAGATCCGCCTGCATGACTAT